GAAACGGATCGATCCGCTGAAAACCCTGACCCTTTATTGGTGAAAGCATTTTCGATGGAATAGGCCTAGGCAATTTTCTACCCACGGACGGTATCATATCTACATGGCTTGGACAATTCCGAGTCGGACGGACGTTAATCAAAGCGACATCGGACGACTGGCCAGCTTCCCATAGTCGGTTCTTCGATCTGATAGCCGCAAAACCTGTCTTGTGGTGGGATGAGTGGCTTCGTCTGAGGAATACATTGCAGTGGTCCACTATCGCAGCCGTACTTTCAGTTCGTCATGGCACATCAGTCATCTTTCATATTCCTGTCTTATCCATTGTTGAAGATTCGAATTAGTTCTGCGAGAATCAGTATAAACGGTTACAGTAACCCGTTATCAAGGTCACTAGATTTCGTCAACCATTCCTGCTGGAAAAAGAAATCTTCATAATTTGTTTCAACGGTAGTGAGATTACGGTAGACGTTGTCAGTGACGTTTTAGTTGTAGCGCTCTTGTGGCCAGTGTACTACATGAAGCCAGTATTGAAACACGTTTTCGAAGAGTGTTCCGTGTTGGTGATCAGCTTCCGGTCTAGGCTAAAAGTTCCCTGGAAGCGATATTTGTCCTCTCCTCCCTCCCCCTCTCGCCTCCCTTAGCTCAGTACCAGCGTAAGGCAGGTTTTCAGGTACAAAAGAAAATATGCTCTCTTGAATGTTCTGTTTCTTGTGCCGTGTACCAGATTGTTATGGCACAACAGTTACGGCGTTATCTGGGAGGTTAAGAGTTAACAATTCATCGATCAGCATTTTAGTGCGGGTATGGCCAGAACCGTGACTTGATAAGGCTACAGTGTGTTCTAGTCTAGCCCTCGCACTTCTTTATAAGGTCGTCTTTCTCGACGGGAGCGTTTCTGTCTACCCGGAAAATGTCCCTGCCCTCCTACCATAGCAGATCTACAGGGCCATTCANATGTTGGGTGGCAGGACCGGACTCCGCCTAAAGGGGGCGGGGTTTGCGCGGGAACTCATAACTCCAGTCTCCGTGGACCTAGAGCGTCCAAATTCGGTCGGAGTACCCCAGATGGGATGGGAACGCTTATGGTAGGTGGCAGGACCGGACTCCGCCCACAGGGGGCGGGGTTTGTGTGAAAAACTTAATTTTGGACCTAGAGTGTTCAAATTTGGTAGGAATACAGGCGGCAGGAATGGAACACCTATGTTGGGTGGCAGGACCGAACTCCACTGACAAGGAGCGGAGTTCGAGCAGAAACTTATGAATCCTGTTCCTATAGACCTAGAGAGTTCAAATTTGGTAGGAGTACAGGCGGCAGCATAGGAACACCAATGGTGGGTGTCAGGGCCGGACTCCGCCCACAGTGGCCCATTGGATGGGGTTTGAACGGGAAACGGGCTTGCAGAAACTGTCAAAATGGACCTAGATCTACTAAACTTGGTAGGAATTGAGGAGGCATGATAGGTACACTGATAATAGGTTGCAGGACTAAACTCCGCCCCAAAGGGCGGGGCGTGAATGAATAGTTTATTTCGGACCCAGACCGATGAAACTTGAAGGCACAAGGAGTTGGCTGGGAACATTGATGGTTGCTAACACAATAGACTCAGCCGCAATGAAGCCTCTGAATATTTTTTTTCTCTGAATGATCGCCTTTGTGATATTATACGATGTTCTATTCGGGCACAGCGAAAATGGCTTACAGAAAAAAATCGCTCCCAATTCGGCGCTAATACTGAGGGTGTAGAGCTTTCAAAGAAAAAGCAGAATCCGAAGTATTATTCACGCATAGCAAATTTCTCACAGGAAGGAGGAACGCCGGGCGTAGCCGGGCGAACCTATAAGAAGGAGGGAAGCCCGGCGTTAGCCGGGCGGCCCGACTGGTTAAAAATAACGAAAGAGGAGTTTTTATTCCGCACAAGTCCCACCCACCTAGAAAGCCACGCCCAACCTGCATAAGTTTATGCGGGTCGGTTACGTTCATTAGGGTAAGAGCAACTCATTTTTTCTAGAAGTTTTCTCTGTACACATTTTCATTTCATCAATTTCCCCTTTTTTGAATTCCTCCTCTCATTGAATTGCTTGCAGCGAGCCACCGATTACAGCTCTAAGAAGGAAAAAAAGGTAATAAATTATCCAAAAACCGGTTTTCGAAGGGCGGGAGGATAGCATGGTGAGGTGATAAAATGATGGAGTAGGCAGGGTGCTATGGCTGCTTAATAAAATAATAAGGATCCCAGTATGCTGTCATCACATCGTGTTTGGCGATAATGGCGATGTCTGATGGAATGTGGTTTTCGCGGCAGCTTGAACGGTATCTCTCGTGCTTATCTTATTCCCAAGTTTATCGTCTTCTTCTCGTTTATTCTGCCCATCTTCTAAGCATTCACATCTTCACCCTCTGCACTGTATTGATAGGTTTCGATCGAGCCAGCCCGACGACTATCCTTTTGCTGAGCGGCGACCACGCGCACGAGCGGGTACGGCGGCGTTGGGGATCCGGTTCGTGGACGATGTCGAATAGCCAGGCGGCGATCAGTAACTCGTTTTGAACATTCCTTGCTTGATAATCTTCTTTACTTCCTCTGAACTGATTCAATCAACCCACCACACAACTTTCCTTTTCCATTCACTCTTTCAAGTTCTTTCCAAGGACCTCTCATAAAGCTCTTCGTGGTCCCATGGGTGAAGAACTATCTTTTTCGTTGAAATTTTTCCGTGCCAGGGTGTTGTCATTCTGCAGCTCCTCTTTATTTCCAAATCCTCAAAGAATGGCGATTTTTCCACTTGGAGACAAGCCTGACTTTTTATACCCTCAGTAGCCAGTTCTTCCAAAGCTTCCACGGGCTCAGTGTGTCAGACATGATGAAATGACATCGACTCTTCCAATCGGCTGGATCCTATGCGGCATCCTGCTTCCTGGCTATTTCGTTGTTTCATACCGAGGAATGTTCCCCAGTTCTCCAGATGGTCAGAGAGAATTCATTTGTGCTCAGATGATTTTTCTTGCGAAGCAGTTCACATAACTCTCAGACTATCCATCTTGCCGAGCGCTATGATTGTCGTATGATATCTGCCCCGACAATGGGGATGTGTCATGATAGGATTTCAGCTAAATCGGGAATCATTCCGCTTCCGATAGGGCGATTTCTTGTGACCGGGAAATAACCAAACGTCGGTGATACCCTTTGATTACAAGTTGAATCCAGGTGAGGATGAGTAATGGACTGACCCGATGAAAAGACTTTCAAAAGATGGGGTACTTAATCCCGTTCTTGGGATGGGCCCCACATTCAACTTCCATTGGGGGTAGTGAAAGCATTTGCACACGTATATGACCTATACAATTACTTGTGGTGACCAGCCAGTAGACAAGTCAAAGTTTTTATCTTCCCAGACTATTCGAAACCAGGTGACCTATGCAGATGTGATAGAAAGCTCGATCCGGGGTTCCTCGACCACGCGTATCCTAGTGGGCCGCTTGTCACAAAACCTTGAGAAGACCTAATCGGATGCAAGCTGTGTGAAGGCGATTAGTAAGTAGGTAGAGCTTCAAAACCCGTGAGAAATCCCGTTGAGTGTTTTTGAAGGGTTTTCGTGTAGGGCGTGCAAAAGTGCTTTTAATAGCTGCTGTCAACATGATATCGCACTTTGGGAAACTCTCACTGGGCATTCACTTGGATGACACCCGTGATACAAATTCCCCTCGGAATGGATAACCCTTGGCCCTGCCTATTGCCCCTCCCATATGTGCCGCCCACTCACCTCACTTTATTCTCCTTACCCTTCCTCCCATCAACTTCTACCGCTCAATTTACCTCATGACAACAAGATGCTCAGCCAGCTTTTTGAGGCGCTGCTCCATCTGTACAAGAGCCAAGCATGAGATAGCTGTCAGAACATTGCCCGTTTATGTGATCCTTCCTTATTTTCCTTGATTCCTTGACAGCGCTACCTGCTCTTTTGCCTACGATTGTCCACCATTCAGCTTGCAAAAGATGTCAGAGGCTTAAAAGTGTAGCGCCATTTGAAAGTAAAAAAAAAGGAAAAAAAACTGTATTTGCTATATCGATCATTGTAATCTAATGGGAAGTGATTCAAAGTACGGAAGCTTTGGGGCTTTTGAGCGAACATTCGAACCATAGAATGTCCGCTTAATAGCTCTAAACCAACCCTCGTTTTTACGATGCCGTAAAGAACCAGTCTAGCTGAAGCCCTAAACCGACCTGACACTTGTGAAGGACATTCGGTATTCCGGCTTGTGACTGTCTATTGAATGTTTTATGAATTTGCAAGGGTTGCAAAGGTTTGTCTGTACTGAAAGAGCAATTTGGAAGGAGGAGTTCGTGGGTGACCACCGTATTACCGATGAATATCGTCACCACGCATTACAGTGATCACCTTTGATGAGTGGTGAATTGCCTCGCAAATAATGCCCGACCTTTTGGACCGGCAAACTTTTTTGAACCGAATCCCAATCTTCCACTTGAAATGTTACACCAACACCGTTTCTGATGGGCATTTCCGCTGTTCCACAGGAGATGCGGTTTGTTCAAAACCGGTTCCCTGACCACAATCAGAAAGGGCAGTGCCACTGTTGTTGTTTTTTTCTGGAAACCGATGAACGAACTGAACATACGTGAGACTAATGCTCATTTCGCGCTGCTGCTTCGCTTATTAAAAAGGGGATTCGCAATGGCGGGCGTTGACTGTGGACGTGAAGTATAAAAAGGAGAAAATGGCTTCTGTGGGCTAGCCGGACCATAAATCAGTGCTAACATCGTCGAGTATGGCGCCAGTTTGGTAATCTAAGGGAGATAAGGGGCCTGTATAGCCATGCACGTTGTTCCTCTCGACATTACTGCTTGATCTTGACCTTTGGTCGAACCGAAATGCTTGATTGCCGGGCTGATTACTGATTTCTAAGGGACACCTTTCTAAGCCCAATTTGGAATACGTAATATGAAAAATGTGAAATAGGTGCAGGTAGTCGACGGTTATTTACGGTATTATGAGTTTGTTTCTATATAGAAGGATGAAGGATGGAACTTTTTGCATTGGTGTTGTAATAGAAATATTTGAGTGCGTATGTGTTGTACCCGATGAATCATGGTGCCCAACCGATATGAAAGCCAGTGCTTTTGACCTTCCGGACGAGTCTTTTCGACTGACCGACACAGTAGGGTTGAGGGGTACCTTGCCTACATCGAATATCGATCCGGGATTCGATCGAATCGATACTCGCTACGACCAATCAAAGCTTTCATCGCTCTAGATTCATTTAATCGATTGGTTGATGTTGAATAGTTTACTTTTATTTATTCTTGGAAGTATTTCAGTAATATGGTGGTATAAAGCGGATTCTGCGATATGCTTTGAATGTGTAAAGAAATCGAGTTGAGCGCTCAAAATGCGACTCAATCGGTTGGCTAGTTGATGTTAGATTTCCTTACAAAAGCAAGACCAATTACTGGGTCGCGATACTCCAGGGGAAGGGCGAGAATTAGGGTTCCATTCTTTGCGCTTGGAGCGATTTTCAAAGAACTCCAGGATATGGCACATTTTGTGGGCCATAATTTACTGCCATCGATGTCAAATGCCTTCAAAATACTCTACCGGAAGTGTTGACCAAAGCATTGTTCTTTGATCAAAACCATTCCGGGATAAGCCACGCCTACGATTTGCATTAAAAGTTGCATTGGCAGCTGAGCTTGGGCGTGGCCTGCACGATGGATTGCAGGATTCCCACCTCCTGTTCGGGACTGAGCTTTATCTCTTCCGAAACGTGTGTGGGGTTAATTCACATATAAAATAACTTGTTCTTGGAGAATGAAGCGAGGTTTTGTGTTCGACTTTGCTTATGCCCTTCATTTTGCTGATATTTTGCTTTTCCTTCCGTTGATCCCTTTCTCAACCCTAGCTCGTAGCTGAATTTCACTGAGCGATTTTCGACTATCAGTGCCTGTTTGTGTCCGATAACTTTCGCCTTCCGCCGAAACTCGATCTCAATACGTATTATCACCAATTGACCGCAATGGTACGGTTTCTGATCGGCCATAGTTGCGGTCAAATCGCCGCCCTAAATTTCGCTCCTCTCATGTCTTCGCTTTGAAATCGAAAGTTTTCAGGTCGTCGTCGACGCCTTGTCAAGTGCGAGAGCGCCCAGACGACCACTACACAGCAGCTTTTCGCCAAAACCGACTACTTCTTCCCGTCGCTGGCGGCTTTGACGCCCCGCGCACATCTCGTGCACTCCTATTCAAAGGAGAATCTTACCGGAAATCCTTATTAGCACAACCTTCATACCTTTTCTTCTGAATGGTGTTGGCCGCTCCACCGTCAAGTTCACAGCGGCTCAGCAATGCTGTCGAGACCGGTATTCTGGAGAAATCGGCCAAGTATGTTTTATATATTCTTAAGCGTTCTTCATATATGATACTCAAAAATAACTGCTTTTAATGTAATGTTTTCTTAATATTTATTTTTTATTTTCTTTTGGAGATTTTGATTCAGAAATTTGTACATACATCAGTTCTGCTTTTGTTTAGAAGCCTAATTTTTATTTTTTTATAAACATACATATGTATATCCTTTTGTGAGCCCTTGCCATCTCTTACTTTATTGACTGCCACGTAACGAATCGGTGAGCCGGCATAGTTCACGCATGTTTGCCCTCCTGGTTATGAGTTGTAAGTCTGCCAGCCTGTTTCCCGTTTTTCTATTTGTTTGTTTGTAGTCTGCCCGTTTATCAGCTTTCCTGTTTTTCTGTTTACTTTACTGTCGGTTTCTCGGTCTGTCGGTCTATCTGTCTGCTTGTCTGTTCGTCTGTCTGTCTGTTTTTCCGTCTGTCTATCTGCCTGTCTATCTATCTGTCTGTCTAGCTATCCATCCGTCTGAGTTCCTTTCTAGGGTTTCCTGAAGGGCAACTGTGCTTATTGATCTCCATCTTGCATCATGCCTCCGCTCAAAGATGAATTTGTTTTATGCCCCAGTACTAATCTATCGTGCTCATATTTGAACTGTTATCAGGTATGTTTGTGTCTGATTGCCCCTCTTTACAGTCACCTGATAACTCTTGCCGCTTGTTTACCTCTCCACCTTACCCGCTTAGAAGAGTGGTCGGCCATTTGCAGAACGTCACTTTATACACCTCCCCTCAAACTTTCTTCTTCCATATTCATGACCCTCTTATTTCACACAAACTTTCGGCAGTTTTGGTACTATGACCGTTCTCCTCCGGCTTGAATAACCTCCCTTTTCCTTTGGCGTCTGTCATTTATGAACTGAACGCTTACGATATGCTGAGCCTCAACCAACATAAATTTTATGTTTATTGTAGATTGAGATAGTCAACAATTCTGTAGGATAGGGAATGTGGTGAAAATGTAGTTGGGGGAGGGGGAGTGGGACGTGAAAATGTAGTTGGGGAGGGGAGAGAGGGG